GTAAAGAAAAAAGTTCCATATGATGCGGACTTTATCAGTGACACTGTACAGGGTGGGTCAAATTCGACGCTTTTAAATGGAAACACCCTTTTCTATAGGAGATAGATAAAAACTAATATCGGTGTCTGGAGCTCAATTTTTGTCAAAAACATGATGGTGAAAACCGCATATCGATATCTGTTACCGTTTCGGAGTTACGGGGCGTTTTTAAAAAATATGCATTTTTAACAAATCGCTGTAAATTTTTCAAAGCACCTTTTACGTAAAATTTAATGGTTTAAGTGTATTTTTTTTTAAAATTAATAATTTAAGAATTATCAACAGAAAATTTGATTTTTTATATGGAACACTCTGCATATTTTTAATTTATTGAAAAGAAATTAAAATTACCTTTCCAAAAATATAACACACTTCATATTTTGCTCGATTCCTCTTCGAGATATAGAGTATATAAAAATTCGCCCGCTTTAAATAAGTAGGCTTTGAACGGCACCGGCTGTAATGCAAAAAAAATCTAGCTGTGAGCATCAATCGACCGTCTTCTGTTATGGACAGACGGGGCAGTTTTTGAACATTTCTCGCGGAATTCATTACTCAGTGGGGGTGAAAGATACCCTCTCATAACTGCTAAGTATTTCTAATTCTTGTCTAGATTATACGGAAGAATAAGGAACCTTTATTCTTCCGCAAATATATTCATAGGATTAGATCCATGGGCACTAAGTCAGGCGGCCTCGACGGCCAACGGCGGGGATCTTGGTTAGCTATTCAATTATTCTAGAAATTGGCTGCAATTGCTGATAACTTCAGAGTTCAAAGGCGGTGCGTCGTCTTGCTGGAAAAATATGTTTTCGAGTTGCATTAAGGGCATATCATCAATAGGGGTCCAAAGCCTACTAGTTAAAAGTGGCGAACTTTTAAAAATTTTATATTTCAAAGGAGATTATAACAAAATATCAAGTGTGTTATATTTTTGGAAAGGTAATTTTAAATTCTTTTCAGTTAATTAAAAATATAGAGGATGTTCGAAATAAAAAATCAATTTTTCTGTTGATAACGATTAAATTCTACGTAAAAAGGTGCTTTGGAAATATTTTCATAGAAATACAAAATTTTCCATAGCAAAAAAGTTACAGCGATTTGTTCAAAATGCACATTTTTGAAAAACACCCCGAAACGGTAACAGATATTGATGTGCGGTTTTCACCATCATGTTTTTGATGAAAATTGAGCTCCAGACACCGATATTAGTTTTCGTCTATTTCCTATAGAAAAGAGTGTTTCCATTTAAAAGCGTCGAATTTGACCCACCCTGTAGAGGGTGTCCCATTTTGATTGAAATCGTACGACATCATTTGTTTGTCATCATCATTGTTGTCAGCATCAAATTAGTAAAGATAGGAGGATGTGGTTTGCACAGATGCGGTTTCCCACTTTTTTGTCAAACCGAAAATGCAACAACCCTCTTCACTTCTGAGCTAGAGCTCTTTTTGAAAATTTTGCAATTTGGGACAGCCCCCGTATATTATGAAAGATATCGAGGACTTGAAAACTGATTCTTGTAGAACTTTTTACGTATAATACAGTGGTGTAGTTTATTTTTCTACAAAATATATTTTTGAAAATATGAACTAAAGTTATGTTTTTTCACATGCAACTGTATATTTATAAATTATATGATGAAAAATGTATATTTATAAATTATATGATTCGTATTGCAATGAGCTTCCAAAAATATATAACACTCTATATTTATTTTCACTATTTACTGCAATATTTAAAAGAGATCATTTTCTTATTAATATAGGTCGTGATAGATAACAAAAATATTAAAATGTTATTTACTAAAATAATCATACACATATTAAAATTTTACTTTCAAACTGTTGAATAATAAATAGAGAGTGTTATATATTTTTGAGAAGCCCATAGCAAGACGGATCATATGGTTTATAAATATCAGATTACAAGAATCAGTTTCAGGCCAATGCCCCTTAAGTTGTCATCCTATAATAATATTGTCAATGCCAAATTGTATTTTCTAGTTTCAAATTACAAAAATATATTTCGAGGACACTAAACGTAGTAGTGTGTGTAGACAGCACAGTAAGTTTTTTTTTCTATTTTAACCACCCTATAGATCAGAAAGGAAGTTCTTAGACCCTTAGTCTTTAGACCCCATGTTTATACAGGGTGTCCCAGGCTGAGCGTCCATTAAAAGTTTCTAGAAAACCACAATATCTAGATCGGATTTTTTTTTGCACATCATTGTTTTACAACGAGATCTATCAATTAAAAATATTTTCAATATGGCGGCACTTCCGGAAATACCGGAAGTTGAGACCAACTTTCTTATTTTAAATGGGTGCCCCCATTTTTTATTACATGCTTAAATTCTCTGTAAAATTATATGAATATTCATATCAAACACTCTATACCTAACATTAACCGTTTTTGAGAAAAAAATATTTAACATTTTTGGACGAAAAAAAAAACTACCTGTCAAAAAAATTTGTATAGCTTAAACGTCAAATTTAGTGATTACCACAGTCACTGTGCCATAAAGAGAAGACCTGTAGCTATCTATTTCAAAAATAAAATTGGTCACAAATGTCATATAATAATGGCGGTCAGGGATTTGAGCGATTAAAAAATTTTCATAAATCATTTTTCTCAATCAAAGGTTTCTCAATTCTTTACTTTTTAACTATACATGTTCCTATACCTAAAATAAATCGTTTTTAAGTTATATAAGATTTAGTTTGAAAACATATAGTTTTTTCTTGATTTTATCTAGTTTCCTTTGATATTAACTGTCAAACAGTTAGACAATTTATTTCCATCTGTCAGAAAACAAATTATTTGAATTTCCTATAAAATAAATACTGCCTGCCTTAAGAGTTTAAAAAGTGTATTTATAAAAATATATCTAATATTTTCGCTTTTTAGTGATATCTAATAGTCGATATTATTAATAATATACCGTAGATCGAAAAAAAAAGAAAAAAAAAACAGCGCAAAATTGGCTTGGCAATGATGATCGATAACATACTGCTTTTTGAACAAAGTGTCACAACATAACATGGCCAGATCTATTGTTTTACATCACTTGACATTTAAAGTCATAGGCTACTGGTTAAAATCAAGAAAAAGATACGCTTTAAAACTAAATCTTAAATAACTTAAAAACGATTTATTTTAGGTATAGGAACATATATAGTCAAAAAGTAACGAATTGAGAAGCCTTATCACTAGTGAAATAAAAAAAAGTGGGTTTCCATTTGAAAAAAAATGATTTATGATAATTTTTTCTAATGCACGCTCAGCCTGGAACACCCTGTATATGAACTTTTTTCTTCTCAATTTCCGGTATCAAGTGCCGCCATATTGAAAATATTTTTAATCGATAGATCTCGTTGTTAAACAATGATGTGCAAAAAATCTCTGATCTAGATATTGTAGTTATTTAGAAACTTCTAATGCACGCTCAGCCTGGAACACCCTGTATATGAACTTTTTTCTTAAAGCATATAAGCAATCACAACCCGTGAAATGTTTTAAACTTCTCAAGGAACGCCCTGTATAATTGATATACAGGGTCCGGCAATAATGCATCTGTAGCTCCTAAAATAAAAAACTTGGGAATTTTGTTTAGGTGCAAACCTAAAGTATGTACTAGGATGTATTTCAGGAAAATATTTTAACTTCTATAGGGTGGCTCAAAAAAGTGTGAGTGAATCGGGATGATTTTTTTTTAAATGGAACACCCTGTATTGCATTTTTGTATTTCCTTTCAGTTCACTTTACATAATCCCAAGACATGATTAAATATATTTCGATAATTTCAGAGATATTAATAAATAAATAAAAATTATATTTTTTCAGCTTTTCTTAAAAAATTATTAATATCATTGTTACAGATCTGTCCTGAAATCAAAACTATATTAGATATTTTTTAGATGGCTCAGTACTTTTGCTATAAATATGGAAATCGTAGATCATACAGGATGTTCAAAATTCTATGCCAAACTTTCTAAAATATAAAATAATTTTTCTTTGTTTTTTTAAACGGAACACCCTCTATATTATTTTTTCAATAGATGGAGAATTAAAAAGTGAACATTTTTTGCATTTAGAGTATTTCAAAATTTTAACAGTTTCGCAGATATTCCCGGTTTTGTATTTCATATGGCATTTTCCACAGTAAATTTTTATCAAAGCCACCCAATCATTTTTCTCTCGTATTTTACCATTGAAAGCGCCATATGAAATAATACTGCGTGTATCCGGAAAACTATTAAAAATTTTGGAACACTTTAAATACAAAAAAATGTTCATTTATTAATCCTCCGTCAAATAAAAAAATAATATACAGGGTGTTCCATTTAAAAAAACGAAGACAAATTATTTTATATTTTTGAGTTTTTAAGTTTGGCGTAAAATATTGAACATCCTGTATGATGTACGATTACCATATTTATAGCAAAGTAAGAACAGACCATCTAGAGTAAATATCTAAAATAGTTTTGATTTCAGAACAGTTCTTGTATTTTTAATATTTTTTTTAAGAAGGGTTGAAAAATATATATTTTTGATTTATATTTTAATATCTCTGAAACTATCGAGATAGTTTCAGAGAGAGATATTACTCATATCTTAGGATTATGTAAAGTGATCTGAAAGGAAGCCAAAAATGCAATAATATACAGGGTGTTCCATTTAAAAAAAATGATCCAGATCCACTCACACTTTTTTGAGCCACCCTATAGAAGTTAAAATATTTTGAGGAAATACATCCTCATACATACTTTAGGTTTGCACTTAAACAAAATTCTCAAGTTTTTTATTCTAGGAGCTACAGATGCCCGACGCACTATTGCCGGACCCTGTACACAAATTTTTAGCACTTGCTCTATTAATCTCTGAATAAATGTAAGGAATTACAAGCTATTGACAAGTTTTACTAATTTCCAAATCAATAAACATATAATTTATTTTAGAGCACTGGCCACTGGTGTTTTGTAGAAATGGTACTCAACAATCTCCAATACCATTGTCGCAAAATACGTCTTTACTAACAGATCTTAAGCCTTTAGTAATAGAAAACTTTGATGAAGAATATTTATTGGATGTTTCTCAAAATGGACATACAGGTAAAGTTTTAAAATTGTGATATTATAAACATTTTTTCTTTTGTGCGTGTTAAAATTATATATTATTATCGTTGGACTGCGGCATAGTTCATAGTTCCCTAGTTTCATAAATTGTGATTGAATGGGTGATCGACAAACAGAAGGAGGATTGTTATCGCGCATTGTAAACTTTATATCGTACGATTTTTTTACTTGTACATCGTTATCTTTACGCTGCTGATTATACTTAATGACAATTACTTTCTAAAGCTAGGTTCTTACACACGCGAATTGCAAAATACGAATTGCGAATATTGTTGTTATTAATCGATTTCAAAAAAATACAGAGGAGGCAAAATTGACATAAAGTTGTTTTAATATTTTAAAATTCGACAAAAGGGTTACTGCAAGACATCAAACGTTGCTGTAATAAAGTTTTTTAAAAAAATGGGGACTGGAGCTAAACAAAAAGAAGACAAGATTTTGACAGAAACATATTGTTGGTGGTGAGTTGGAAGACTGATATTAAATAACAACATAACGATTGAAGCCTGAGAAGAATATACAGGGTTGGTCAAATTCGACGCTTTTAAATGGAAACACCCTTTTCTATAGGAGATAGACGAAAACTAATATCGGTGTCTGGAGCTCAATTTTTGTCAAAAACATGATGGTGAAAACCGCATATCGATATCTGTTACCGTTTCGGAGTTACGGGGTGTTTTTCAAAAATATGCATTTTTAACAAATCGCTGTAACTTTTTTGCTATTGAAAATTTTGTATTTTTATGAAACATTTCCAAAATACCTTTTTACGTAGAATTTGATGGTTTAAGTATATTTTTTTTAATTAATAATTTACGGATTATAAACAGAAAATTTTATTTTTTATATGGGACACCCTGTATATTTTTAATTTATTGAAAAGAATTTAAAATTAGCTTTCCAAAAATATAACACACTTGATATTTTACTCGATTCCTCTTCGAGATATAGAGTATATAAAAATTCGCCCTCTTTAAATTAGTAGGCTTTGAACGGCATCGGCTGTAATGCAAAAAAAATTCTAGCTGTGAGCATCAATTAAAATGAAAATAATATTTGCAATGAGAGATGCAGAATTTTATAACAATTTAAAATATATTTAACCATTTTAAAAAAAATGGTTAAACCATTTTAAAAAAAATGGTTAAATGTATTTTAAATTGTTATAAAATTCTGCATCTCTCATTGCAAATATCATTTTCGTATACATATTTAACCAACATCAACACATTTAAACTATATCTAATAACAATAAAAATAAATAGCAAACCAAGACATGAGATTTTGCTACAGGTGTTCGACATATCGACCGTCTTCTGTTATGGACAGACGCGGCCGTTTTTGAACATTTCTCGCGGAATTCATTAACTCAATGGGGGTGAAAGATACCCTCTCATAACAGCTAAATATTTCTAATTCTTGTCTAGATTATACGAAGGAATAAGGATCCTTTATTCTTCCGCAAATATATCCATAGTATTAGATCCATGGGCACTAAGAAAGAAGAAAGAAATTGCTTTATTGTCATAAAAAAAAATTTACAATTTTGTTGACAAAACTTAAAAAAAAGAATATAAAAAACATACAAAACTTCACTTAACAATAGAAAAACATATAAAACTAACAGCAAACATACAAAACTAGAACAATACTTTATACAATTATAGAAATTGTACATTGTCAAAAATTTATTTAATTAAATATAAATAAAATATAAACATACATGTAAATAAACAACTGTATATATAATGTCAATACTAAATTTAAATGGATAGAAAACAAAATCATTTCTTAAATTTAGTGAATGTGTGTTAAATTTAGAACCCTAGATATTAATAAAAAATCGTTAACCGCGTAAAAAGGCTTTCTCCAGTAAGTATGATCTCAAAGCTCTGCGAAATGCAGGAAAGATGAAATGGAATTAATTTCAGATGGCAGATGATTGTGCATTTTTTTTGCATTGTACAATATGGAACTCTTTACTAACTCAGAGTGAGGGGTTGGCAGATACATGTTATGCTCTGCGTTCCTAATTGGATAGCCATGAACTGGCCCTAGAGAAATACTCGATACGTGCTTGCGAACTAGGCAGACGGATTCGAGTATGAATAGGGAAGGAAGAGTTAATATTTTAATATAGACTGTCCTAGATGTTGACAAATTAAGCACATTAGCAACTGATCTAAGTGCGAAACAGGCAGAACTTAATTTTTTAGCTAAAGCATCGATGTGCAAATCCCATTTTAAATAGTTGTCCACAACAAGGCCTAAAAATTTCACAGAATCAACGACGTCAATGGTGGTATTATCAAGTTGAAAAGGTAGCAACGTACTTTTATATGATAAGACTTTTAGTTTTAGAGACGTTGAGACACAGATAATTAGAATCGCACCATGTTTTTATGTTGATTAAGTCACTGGAAATGGTTCTATGAAGTGCCGTGGTGTCCGGGCTGCTCCATGTGAAACAAGTATCATCCGCGAAGAGACAGATTTTACCACTGATGTCCAGACTAGCAATATCGTTGATAAACAACAGAAACAAAAATAGGACCTAGCACTGAGCCCTGAGGTACTCCGCATTCTATTGGCTTGCAAAGAAGACACAGTCTTATCAACCCTCACACGCTGGTTTCTGTTGTTAAGGTAGGACTTAAACCATTCAAGAGGCGTTCCCCTGATACCATAGTACTGCAATTTGTTAGTTAGGATGTTATGATTAACACAATCGAAAGCTTTCGAGAAATCACAGAAAATTGTTGCTGTAACGAGACGGTTGTTCAGACTGGAGTATACATTATTAAACAGCGAAAACATAGCGTCATTTGTACATTTGTTACTCAAGAACCCAAACTGAAAGGGGTGAGTATTTTGTATTTTTAGAAGAAATGATACAAGCCTCTTTTTAACCAGTCTCTCCATGATCTTCGATAACGTGGGAAGGAGTGCAATTGGACGATAGTTGGAAGCTTGCTCTTTATCACCTCCTTTATGCAAAGGAATAATTATCGCCGACTTAAGGCACCTGGAAAGCACCATCTTCAAATGACATATTAATTAAGGCTGAAAGATGGTTTAATATACATTCCGGCATACTAAGAGAACATTTTAAGAGTAAGTCCGTCAGTCCCTGCTGAAGATTTATTTTTAATATCATTTAATGTATTGCCGAAGCTCTGCACCAACTCCCACAGGCGTAAGGAAGAAACTGTGCAAATTAACATTATAGTCAGAGAGAAATGATAGAGAATCAAGGGAGGGTGAGATAGTATTCACTATATTCTTCGCCACATTTACAAAGTAATTGTTTAGGTCCTCAGGTGAAGTTGAGGTTATGTTGGACGAAGAAACCTTACCCTCAAGTCATTCACAATCGACCATGTTTCTTTGGCAATATTACCGGACTCAGTCAACCTCCTATTGTAATAGATGTCCTTGGCGGCTTTTATAGTCTTATGGTAAATTTTCCTGTAAAGTTTCACGTACTCGTGAAAGAAGACACTATCCGAGAATTTTTTAGGTGAGATAAAGAGCGCATGTTTTTTGCAGATGTACGTAGGCCCTTAGTAGTCCAGGGTTTATGATGTTTAATTTTGACAGGCCTGAGAGGAAAGGCTTTGGATGCCAGACCAGATAATGTTTGTGTAAATCTGGAAAAATTCAGTGTCTACATCACCAGAGATGACATGCCAATCTGTTGTTAGACAAAGCTGCTTAAAATTTATAAAGTTTTTTTCCGAAAAATACGTCCTAATTTACGAAAAGTGTTTTACTCTCGGATTTTATGGAAATTTTGTTAATACTCCTTCATGATCAGAGAAGCCTGAGTTCAACACAGTACAGTCAACCAATTCTGGATCAAAGGATGACACGACATAGTCTATAGTACTAGAACAAGTTCTAGTGATTCTTGTTGGTGCATTAACATGCATTACTACACCAAAAGTCTCGAAGATAGACTGGAGAGATTCCCGAGCATCACACACACTGGAGAAGTCAATATTAAGGTCACCACACAAGATCAACCTGCTATTCACAGGCAGGGACTCTAGCAAACTCAGTAATTTCTGAAAGAACATATGCATATCTGCGTCAGGTGTTCTATAAATACAAACAATATAGAGGTCATAAGCAATGTGGTAGATGATAGAAAATTCAAACATTTTCTCGGCTAATAAGTGATCAAATTTTGTTATTGCCGTAAGGTTTTTGTTGGTAGACATTATCATAGTACCTCCATGAGATAAATTACTTCTATTAAATCTAGCTATTGTTGTGTAATTTTTCACAAACACGGGCTCATCGGTATTTAACCAATGTTCCGTTATGGCAATGATTTCAGGAAATTTGAGCTGTTCCAATAAAAGAAATAATTCATCTGTTTTGTGTCTTAAGGACTGAACATTGATAAGAAAAATACCTAGCTTGCTATCGTCCGATTTATCAGAGGGTGCTTGATCCTCTGTTCGCGTCAAATGAATTAAAAATTTTTATTTTTAGATGGAGAGCCACTGGAAAAATACTTGCTGTGGCTTTCCCTAGACTTCTGAAGGTGAAATAGCTTCTCTGATGAGAAAAAGGTCCTGAAGGCGGAGAGATCTGCCTCAACCTCAGCCACGCCAATGCCATACGCGTCGTGGAAGCGATAAAACAACTTGCGCAGGGAGTCCATGTCGCATGGGAGACCTTCCGATGCTAGCGCCAACTTGATGCTGGTGTTGGTGTGTCCCTCAAAACACGCACTGGGGGGTTGGTCATGGAGGTACGCAAGGAATAGCCTGACAGCTTTCAATATCGAAGGGTCCCTTAGTCTCGCCAACAAATAACGTCCATTGGCCGTGTCCGATTCACGCGATAACCGCACAATAGGTGGAGTCATTGGGTCCAAACTCAGCACCTCACCTTCCCTTGGATGCTTATTGATAATATTTTTCGCCTCCTGCTGCCCAAAGGACTTACTCGCAGCTATAGCCTCC